GGAGGCGTTTCTCCATCTTATTTACGTGGCTTCTGAATTCATGGAAGGCTTGCAGTGTACGCTGCAAGTCTGCTGTGACCAAAACAAGACTATCTCGAAGAACGTCTGGCAATGCCTCATGTTGTTCTTTGAAGGTCTTGAGTCTGTCGAGGCGTTCGTCTCGAATGTAGGATAGTAACGGTCGTCCAAACGGTGCATCTAAAAGCACAAATGTCTCTGTTGCTGATCAGCCGATCGCTGAACAAACGCAACGCCATGAAAGGAGGAACTTTTTCTTTTAATAAGTTTTAGATTTTACTCGATTGAGACTGCTGATAGAGGTCATTGAGTGTGCAAGCTTTCAATATAACTATCTTTGTGAACGTTTTTGTTTTTCACGCAGTTTGAGTGCGCTAGCATTGCGATTTCAACATTCACGCTTTCGGGCATTGCGTAATTTTTTCGGGCAAGAAGTTCACCGCCCCTCCCCACCCACCTCCCCCCCAAGTCCGAAGGTGCCCGCACGCCTATGATCACAAATTAACTCGATGCCAGAGTAGAGAGTTTTCTTGCATAAACTTTATTCAAAAGCTTACGCGTACAACTAGTGCGAGCAGATCTTACCCATTCACAGCGCGAAATTTGAAGTTCTGTTTTCGACCCTGAAAAACTCACGCCACTAGACTTCCAATAAGTCGAGTCGACATCCAGCGAGACGTGTCGTGACGACTCGACTCGGCTCGAGTCGAGTCACCGACTTTTACTGTCCTCCCTCATTACCGTACGGTATTTTACGCTAAGTCCCTTTGCCACTAGACTTGCGATAAGTCGAGTCGACTTTTAGCGAGACGACTCGTCTCGAGTTGCCGCCTCTCTCATTACTGTACTATACACTAAGTCCCTCGCCACTAGACTTTCAGTCATGATAGGTCCAGTCGACTTTTAGCGAGACGAGTCGTGACGACTCGACTCGACTCGACTCGAGTCAGCGACTTTCACTACCCTCCTCCGCAACTGAACTGTATTTTAAGTCTCTCGCCACTAGACTTCCGATAAGTCGAGTCGATATACATAACTCTCGCCACTAGACTTAACGCTACGTCTCTCGCCACTAGACATCCGATAAGTCCAGTCGACTTTTAAAAGTTAATGACTCGAGTCGAGTCACCGACTTTTACTATCCTGCCTCATAACCGTATTGTATTTTACACTAAGTCTCTCGCCTTTGGACTTCCAATAAGTCGAGTCGACTTTTAGCGAGACAAGACGTGACGACTCGAGTCGAGTCGCCTATTACCGTACCCTTCTTTATAGAAACTTGCTGTATTTTACCGACACTGTCTCTAGCGAATAGACTTACGGAAAGTGGAGTCGATACCATTCTTAGATGACTCGACTCTATGCGGGTACATTGGACAACCCTCGTAAATTCAGCAAAGAAAAGGAGAAAAAGTGCCGTTGTTGCTATTGGGTTCTTGGGAAAAAAAAAAGTAGAATAAGAGATGGCATTGCGGAGGGAAGAGATCGAAATGAGAAAACAAGAGGAGATGAGAGGTTCTCAGCAGACAACAAGGCAGGAGGAAATGTTAAGGATGATTCAGCAACAGCAAGAAGATCGAGGATCAGCTGAAGTAGCAAAGAAATCAAACCTAACAGCTGCAATTTATGCAGTCCATGTTGAACCAACAGCAACAGCAATCACAGGCTCTTCTAAGCCTTATTGAGAGGTTGGCTCCCAAGGAAAATCACGAACAGTTGCTCAAAGTCTTGGCACTTATTAGTACCGTTGAAAATATTCATTATTGTGTTTTTTTATTCCATTTCTGTGCAAGCTGTTGTTAAAAAGTCTTGAGTTAAAGTTACGTAAGAATTCATAGACAGTGGCTTGGCGAAGTCTATATATTATATTTTATGGTTTTTCTAATCAAGATTCAGTGGGCAAACACAATCTCTAACTGGAAAGGATTTTTGCATTTGAACCCCACTGTGGCAGTCAACAGTTTTTCCCATTATCAGTTAGTTTCACTATTGATACTATAGTATTTACATCTTATATTTTCTTTTCCTTTTTTTCATTTCCTGGCTATTTTCGAAATTCATCTGAAGTAATCCCAGAGGCTTGGAGGGTCAAGTTAAAAAAAATCTGAAGTCTGATTACCATAGAGACATGTAAGAGCATTTCTTAGGAGTGCACATACAACATATGTTTTACCAACGCTACTTAAGCAAATTTTGAAATTCTTTTTAAAATCAAGGAATTTGAAATAGTTTAAAATATCGCCAAAGAGGCATTCGAATGACACTCGAACAAGGCTTATAGAATCATTGAACATGTTCATCTGGGGAGTGAGAGCTGCTTCTTGGAATGGTCCTTGGAGGTGCACTCGAAGAGGATACGCAGGATCTCTATAATTATGTACACATAGGTTGACCCCCGGTGGAAAATGGAAAATGCTCCAAGTCTTGTAAGAGTCCAGATTCTGTTAACATTCCAGCATCATGTCTCTTTCCCTCTAGAAAGATATTAGAACATTAAATTTTCTTTTCGTCACGTATAGATTAAAGAAAGATTGCAATCTATGAGTCTGGCAATGGGGCGCACAGTCCCAGTTCCCGGGTTGTCACGTCGCCGCGAAAACGTCTGTATCTTAAGGTGGCTGGTACCAGTTTTCTCGCGCGGGGAGTGGATCACCATCGTGCGTCACGCGTGAGAAACACGCACGATAGAGGCGCGAGATTTAAAACCCGAAAGAGCAAAACAAATATGGCGGCGCGCGGCTTTTTTCGCGCAAGGTGACTTCTGTACTGTTGGAGACGAAATTCGCATATAAAGGAGGCTTTACTTGCTAGAACAACTTGAGTCAATTCTGTGTATTTAAGAAAAATTGTTTCGGGAATCCAATGTTTCCCAAATATCAAAGGAGACTCGATCGATCGTGCAGCCGCCGAGAGCATATAAAGGACTCGTAAAACATAGCAAATCAACCCAGAATTTGTGTAAAAATGCTACAAAGTAAGCCCAGAAGGTTGTCTTTAACGACAACTACAACTGTAAATGATGTTTTAGCAGAAAACGACAGCAAACAAAACAAAACGCCTGTTCGGAGCCCGCTCGCCCGCGCGGGCACACGAAGCAGTCAGCGGTAGTCAAAACAGCTCATAAGCAACTGCTTATCTTATAAAGTGTGGATTTTTGAATACGTGTCTACGCGCGTGGGAATAACTGAACTCGCGAAGGCTTTTACATGAAAGCAAGCCCGGTGACCCCCTCTTTTTATTGTTTTAATATGATATTATTATTGAGAGAAAGCCTCAGAAAAAAAATAAAAAAATTCTACGGAAGGAAATTTGCACTTTGTTCAAATCGTCGTTTTTCCAAGTTTTCATGAGATCGGCTCCGTAAAATTGTTTTAAAATTGTTGTGCATTTTCATTTTCAGATGCCAAAAGTTATTGATTAAAAAAAACTTGTGGTCACCGGGTTAATTTTTTAGTTGTTAGTGACATAAGCGAAAAATCAGGTCTGGAAAGTCCTTTTGGAATGTTGCCATGGTAACTGCTGACGACAAAATAGCAGCTGTTTTAGTTCAAGTATAAATTGTATAATCCAGACCTACAAAAATATTACAGTGGCCTTGGTCTGCCTTTTTGTTTTATTCTTACAAAGTTACGAGCCGTCAAAAACCTGAAAACTGGTACGAGCCACCTTAAGCTCCCTACTTTCTTGCAACTACCCGAGACGAGATGGCGGGAAATGTGGTGAAAAGGCATTTAATATGTTTTGATTTTCAAAACACTCAAAAGACGTTTCCTAGAACAGATGTTTTCTTCACTCTCAGCGGTCTTTTTGTTTGGCTGGGTTTTCGTTTGCTTTTTGTTCGTTTGGCTGTTCATTTTTTTTGTTCGTTTCTTTCCCTTTGTTTTGTGGCCAAATTGTGCGTATTTGAGAGAACGTGAGGTACGACGGTCAATTTTTAAAATTTCTTTTTCAAAAGTCGACGCCCTGTTACATGTCCTGTTTAGGATATCTCTTACAGTGATAGACAAACTAAATGAATCTAAATTCTTACGAGATTCGTAGGTTGAATATGAAGTCGTCTTTTTCCATCGAATTTTCCTTGGCGGTGTTGACGTTGTTGCTTAATAAGGTGATGCCTCAGTATTGGCACACGATTTTCGCGTCATTAGAGAGTTTAAGCATGACGTTTACGGCAGACGGCAAACGGCAAAGATTGCCTCTGATTTTTTATTCTTTTCTTGTAATCCTTAATTAAATCACACAAAAATAGAAAAATGTCTTCTACTATTCACCACAAATACAAATATTTTCACTCTACTGTACAGACAGCTGAAGACAGACGGCAAAAGACGGAATAGGTTCGATCGCTAGCCACTGTTCAAGAAAGGATCCCGCGCGCACTTGTAGACGCGACTCGCGTACTCGAGAGATCAGCGGAAATCAAGCCTGAAAACAGAAATTAAATTAGACTGATTTCAGATATTTTAATTTCTAATTTTTATACAACCCTTGCGCCCGTTTGGCTGGTCATTTCTCTGCCGTTCATTCAGATTTTTATTGTCTTTTTTTCAGGGGACATCGGTCTCTCATTTAAACTCCTTTTAAAGTTTCGAAATGTATTAAAACATTGCGAGGGCCGAAGGTCTTTATCATCTTTGATGTTAAAATATTACAAAAGACATCGCCACAGCATTTGAGGTTTTCCTTCACTTTGAAACGGTACGAAACAAAAACAAATTCCACGCAAGGCGCGTGTAACATCCACGGAAGAACTGGGTGCCATGTTTAAAAATAGCTTAAGAGTGATTACGTTTGGCATAAGGCCTGCCTTGATCTTCTTTTGTTCTTATCTCAAACAGGTGTAGTTAACCACTGAGATAATTGTTATTATAAAGTTTCCTTCCATGTGAGGAAAAAACTGTTACAATCATTGTAAGTAGCAAAACGATCTTGCTGTCGGCCTCATACCTTGTTGTGCTCAATGTTTATTTCTTTTCTTTCAGTTATAACATCAAACGTGCTACTCAATGGCCAACTAGAAACTCACACTATTGATCAGGCGAGGACAATATTTGATGTGAATACGTTTGTTGTGATAAAGCTGATAAAGGCTATTCTTCCTTTAATGAAGAAGCAGCGAGATGGTCGACTCGTTGTTGTAAGTAACCAGGCTGGGATATTGGGAATTCCTTTCCACGCTATCTACTGTGCATCGAAATTTGCCGTCGAAGGATTTATGGAATGTATCGCCCCAGAATGCTTGGCATTTAATATCTAGTAAGTCAACGTGCGTTTGGTGCACTGAATCATGTATAGTAGTGGAAAATTCTCGTTTTCTTACTTTGCCATTTACAGTAAATTTCACTCAACTGGAAATCTAGGGCTGCCTTTTGTTTGCCAGTATATACTTGTTACGATTTCAACCTCTGATAAGGAATCTCTGGTTTTCTGATTGGTCCAGTGAATCTCATTTCTTAACTTACATACCTTAGTTAAATTAACTTTAGTTCAGGAAGTGTCGTTTTGCTTCTCTTGGCGGGAAACAAAAAGTCTCCTCTAAAAAATGGCGGCAAAAAGCTAAGGTGCCAAGTAAGGTTTACCACTTTGGTGCGTCTTTTCAAGGGAAGAACTAAGACAAATTTCATAGTTTTTGATCGATTTTCAAATCCAAACAAATCTCCTAAAGAACTCTATAGAACTCGTATAGTAAGGTTTGTTCACTTGTGGTTTCGTTTAACTCCAGCAGTGAACAGGGTGCCAAAAATTTTGCCGGTTTTTCCTGACGCATTATTTCGTTTAGATAAAACTGAACTGTTCACCTCATCCAGTCAAATAATAAAGCAATTTTTGGCCCTTGTTGGATATGGAGTAATTATCGCAATCACGACGCATAAGCGTCTCGTTTGCAACCAATTAGACTGTGGGATATATAATGTTACAAGTTTGTAATGTCTGTTGTCGTCCATTTATTACTGAGTGCATGCTAATCCATCTTTTTCCTAGTTGCTCCATTATCGAAACAAGTATGATCAAAGGTGAAGAAAAGACAGCCCAAACTCTTCAAGTTTCAATCCGCTCTAAAATGGAAAATGCTGATGACGACACTAAAAAGTACCAAGATTCCTTCCCTGGGAAAATGAGACGAAAGGGATCTGTGAAAAAACTTGATTTAGGAAGAGTAACTGAACTCATACGAGACGCTATAGTTGAAGAGAGACCTCATCTTCGATATCAATTAAATAAGTCTTCAAAGGATGCTGCCAGGGAGAAATGGACTGATGTACATGGAGACTCAAATATGTTTGACTCTGCTGAACAATATTTGTGCGTTGAAACGGAGCGTCTGCGAGAAGCTTTGGATAATATTAACAGCGCTGAAACAAAGATGTAACTGACCAGTGTTTAGATGTGCTATTGTATAGGCTCTACAACGCCAATGACTTACTAGGCTGAAAATAGTTTCCTAAACTTTGGATCAGCCACGCTTTTTCGTTCGTGATTATTCTCTTGTTGAAGGTGATCTGTTCGATTACCACGACAACTCAAATATACAGAGTTCTTTCTCTACTCAGTCTGAACTGAATCTAAGTTTAAATTGGATCTTAGCAAAATCGTACAAACTCGGGACTCGAAAAGACTATATCTTCGATGGTACATTGGACAAAACTGAATAACAACCTGTTAACTGCTCCTTGTATTTGCCTGGCTGCATGGAAGAAGTCAGCTACATTGTTAATTGTGCGCTTTTAAAAGTCATAATAGTCTATAAGATTCAAACTTTGGCCGGCCACCGTACCTCGCCGAGTTTTAGTGAAATTTGGCATGCAGTCTTGTTGTAGGGTCGTATCTACCAATTTTTTTTAAGCGATGAAAACATGGATGGTTGCAATTCGCCATCTTTGGTTTCGGGGAGTGAGAAACTTGTCCTTTGCAGTTTTTAGGACCCGCGGAATACCTTTAATTTCAGCTTTTAATCGAAGATTTTGAGTGAGGATTGTGCTTTATCCAGTAGCAGATAAATCTGCGCTCACCGACAAACACATAACAAGAACACATCGCCTATACATACCAACTACAATTCTGGTCAAAAGTCTTAGGACACTTTACACTTTTGCCAACATATGGTCTTTCTATCCACCTCCCCCTCCCCACCCCCTCTTCTTTGTTCATGGTGATTCATCCAAAGTAGGCCCACTATTCCAACATTGGCTGTTGTTGTTTTTTTTTGGGGGGGGGGGGGGGCGGGGTTGTTCAGCAAATTAAATAATGACTTCCCACCTCAAAATAATGCGTCACCAGTTGGCATTTTGTCAAGTGTTTCAAGGACTTTTGGCCAGGATTTTCCGAATGAGACTTTTCAAAAAGACACTATATTATTTAGCAACATCTCTTTGCTATTGAGCCTCTCAATCAATCAATCAATCAGTCAATCAAATGAAATCTTCAGTAAGTACAATAGTATAATTAAAAACTATCATATACTGTTTTACAAGATTGCCGAGTGAGAATCCGACGATTCAAACACGCGATTGATTTACGTCTTGAATTTCGCAATTGAGTTAATTTTTCTGATGTTTTCAGGTAATGAATAAATAAAGCACCGCAGTAACTGAAACTACATTTCAAATAATTAGTACGCGGCCTGGGCAACGTTAATTTACCGAAAGAATTACGCATATCATAGTCTGTGCCTCGTTCGTTGAATAGGTCCTGCAGGTACTTACACTGGAGGTAACTCATTAAGGGATTTAAACATCATTATAGCTTTTTAGTGCAGAGTGCACTACTGGGATGGTTTTGGGGGTTGCCTGCCGCTAAGGCACTAATTTGCTATGGCGCTTAAGTGTAAACTTTAATGTTTCTTTAATAACGTTAAATAAAGCATTCATTCATTCATTTTAATTAATTCATTTCATTAATTTAATTCATTTCAATTAATTAATTAGTCTAGAGGCACGGAAGTGGTGGGGCTGGGATGTGAAAGGTGCATGTTGGTGTAAGTTCGGTTTGAACATCGCAAAGCTATGTATTTGTTTCAGGTAATCCCTTGCTCTCCATGTGGTTCTATTCTCTTTAGAACAAAACCAATTTGCTCTAAACGCATGCTCAAATTAGTTAGCGTTCGTGTCTTCTATATTAGGTGGAGGATACATCGCACAGGGAACAACGAACAAATGTTGAGTGGTTTTCCTTACGGTGGTACTCAACATGTAAGACACGTGCGTTCTAGCATCGTTAGTGTTATTCACTATGTTTCCACGCGGTATTTTATATTTAAAACGATGAGAAGTCAAAGACTACTGCAAGGCTGATACAACGTGGTATATTTAAAATAATAGGTCCGCAGTGCGTACATGTGTGGTTTACAAGTTGTACTTGTAATTAGGACGAAACTGAATTATCATGAAAAAAATGAAAGGCACTACTAAGATTTTCAACTCAAACGGTCAGCGATCGATAGCAGGTGAAAATATGAGGTATTTTAGAGAATAGGGTGCTATTACAGAGAATCACAAAGTGTGCTCCTGTGGGGTTTCCAATTATTTAGTTTTATTGTACTAGTAGTTAGGATATGGTAAATGAAATGCTGCTGTATTGTATATGTAAATGTATTTGCTAATTTGGGAGTAATTGAAACTTATTGCTTCAGCTTATAACTAAAAAGATTAATAGGCCTTGAAAAATATATCCCAAAACAAACTTTAAAAACAAACAAACAAAAAAACAAACAAGAAATATTAATTTTTCTTAAGGGTTTAGCTCACTATTTGTGAAAGTCGGCAAAATCAGCAAAAGATTAACTGATTCATTGTACTATACATTCATTGTATTATTTCCTGCTGCAAAGCAAGCCCTTTAAAATGTACGCAATCGGTTAATTGGAGAGCATTTGCCATTTTTTGTGTTAGCTGATGAGATGAGATATTTGTTACTGGAGTGTAGGTATCTTTCAATAAATCAATCAATCAATCAGCCAATCATTCAATCAATCAGTCAATCATTCAATCAATATTTTAGCTTCATTTATACCACAAAGTACTCACACCATATCAAAGCATAACCACAATAGCTCTGAATTGAGTGGATTCCCAAAAAAGCCTAGCTCCTTTTATGAAGCCCGCAAATAATTAACGGTTATTCCATGAGTACAGGTTGGATATGAGACGATGGATAGCCAACGAGGCATATAGCATTGAGTTGACTATAATCATTTCATATCCAACAAGCGTGAGTGCAATAATCGTTTTTATTATACATTGTAGTCACCATCTGTCTTCTCGTTGGCTAAAATCCTCCAGTTAATTCTGGGAAACAGTGCAACCTACAGATTATTCACTAATCTGCTAGCAGATTAGTGAATAATCCGTAGGTTGCGCGCGCAATGCATGATTTCCAAGAGCAATGTCAACTTCACGTAAAAACATGGCTTGTCGAAAATAAACTGTGTTTGATGCGATAACGCGTTTGTCGTTATTTGCTCTAAAACAATGTATAATAAAACAATTATGAGATTCCGTTTTGTTGATATCCGAAATTGTCAAGGACTCGGTTAGTGTTATCGGCCTCAGTCTTCGGCTTCGGCTGATAACACTTACCTCGACCTTGATTATTCCGGATATCACAAAAACCTCATCCAATAATTGTTTATGATAATTAAATTATACATATCAACTTACCATACTTGTAGAGCATGGTATAATTCCTGAATGATATACTTGTATTACGGCTAACAAGCCAATGAAAACTTAAATTGTATTATGCAATGATCCAGTTTTAAATAAAACTGATTGTATATATGGCTTATCAAATTNGGTACACGTTCCCAATTTTCTCCACTTGCTGGTTTTAGGGTTTTCGTGTCCGGCTTTGGTGCACTTAGCAATTGTCTTTTTATTCATAGCTTGTATTATGTGCTGAGATGGAATAAACGGGACGATGGCTTGGCTGGCCAACGCACCCAATTTAATCACTGTCTAGTGTGTCCGGATGTGTAGTGGAGGCAAAATCGGAGATTTTCGAATACACTCTTCTAACCGGAGGAATTTGAAAACG